CACTCAAATACACACAGGATATACAGGAGGTATGCCCACACACAGGAGGTACGCACAAGCACTCGCACATGGGATATACAAGAGACACGCACCTCTACGCATGCACCACATCCACGGGCCAAGCGTAATGATAGCCCTCTGTCGTCGCACTTCGATCGCGGCATGCATTTATGCAAAATGCAAAATTGGATCGCGCCACTTCCTTCCCCCGTCCCCTCCGACCCTCGAGACGCGCCGAATGTGTTTTCGTATTCATTTTATAGTTACTGCTTTCACCCCCGTATGAGAGGGTGCGAGAGAGAGGGCGGAAGTGGGTGGCGGTGGGTGGTACGGGTGGTGTAGGTGTTGTGGGTGGTGTGGGTGGCGACGGGAGGAAATGGGTGGCTCGCGGCCTAGTGTTAACGTTTTACGCTTCACCCTCGTCCTGGCTAAAATCGACACCAAATCCCCCCAGGACGCCGTCGCGGCGTTAATTCTCCGTGGAATCGGCCCCATCTCCGATGTCGAAACTGCAATAGGACTTTACTGCAACTGCGAAACTGACACGCCACCGCGTTTCCTGACTCTGGGGTCGTGAAACTGAGGCGCGAGTGGACGGTGTCTACTTTTCAGGGTTTGGCACAATTGTGGGGGTCCCTTCTACTTTTTGAAGAGGTAGAGGCATTTTCATTATTAATATTCAGAGGGGTTTTACAAGTAGTTAATGAACATTTTCGAAATTAAGGGTGTAAAACGAAGCCGATTAAAGATATGCATTTTCGAAATGATCCAATTCGGATTTTCACGGCCGCGAGGAGTACATCTAGCGCTCATTGCATTTTGCTACATTGCGCTAATTTCCCAGAAGTAAATAAATTAATTAATCAATGAAAGGCCCTCCGCGCGTGAACGATACTTCCCGAAATGGCTTATTTGTATGATTATATGAAGCTCACATTTTTTACCAAATAATTTCACACACTTGACAAGGTGATATAAAAGTGAAACGGTGCGATAATTCCAATTGTGACGAAATTGTACTGGGGACGCAATTTTGTCAGTTTCGGAACGGCGAATTGCTCCGCCTACGTTAACACGAGAGCCCGATAAAAGTTTCACGTTTTCGAAATTATTTACGAAGCCTGGGGTTCCCTTCGCAGCGCCGGGGCGATTTTTCTGCCCTGGGAAACCTTGAGGGCGGGACTCCATTTTCATGGGGCTGTAACAAGATTGATTTTTACTGCCCGTCAGCCCCGGACTTCGGAGATTTCGACCGCCGCCATACACGGCCGGGGAATCGCGAATTCTTTAATGCCATCGACATTATTCATTGGTTTAGGCCCTTCCGAAAGTGAACTTCCTGGTACCACCAGGACGGCCGCCATTTGTCTAACATTTCGGGGCTTTTCAGCCGGTGGTACGCGACCGACTTTTCCATTATAACTTTCCCTTGATATATATCTCACTTCTCGAGGAATATGGTGTACATCTCCTCGAGGGATTTATCGATCCCTCCAACACAATGGAATGAAGTGCGAGGGATGTACCTCCATTTTTTAATGGAATTTTTCACCATCCAACAATCTAAAAGTACCTACGGAACAAAAGAGATAGCATCGAATCTATCCTTGAAAAATTACTACAGGAATTTAAAAGAGAAAACAATTATTCAACTTGACATATAAAACGTGCACTGTATCATTTAATTACAGAATCTTTCGAATCGTGCGTATAAGTGCCGATTATTAATTTTCACGAGGGGGAACTCTTCACCGATAAAAATGATAAGAGGAGCGTTACAACTGGACATTGACAAACGAGAATTTTCTCGTCAGAGAAATTAGAATCGACCAATTAAATTTATAATCGATTAAGCCTGGATTTTAATTGTTTGCCGAGTATAACGGCCTTACCCAATTTTCCTCTTCTTTCCCCTCGCTTCGGTCTTTTATTCCCTTTTCCCACTTCTCGTCCCTCTTCCCCAGGAAAGTACTTCGGCAGAAAATAAAATGAAAGGAACTTCGACTGTCTCGAGATCGATTCTCCGCCGTTGCGACGCATTATCATTTGAAAGGGAATTTTCCGAGTTCATCCCCCTTTGCAGTGCATGAACGGATCATGCGTGCACGCATTCGCGATCATGCGATATATCTACCAGAAACGCATACGGGGGAGGAAGGGAGATTAGGGGAAATGCGTGAGAACAAGGGTGGAGAATTCTCGTTGGCGGAAAAAAAAAAACCAAGTTGGGGGTGAGGAACCCACGAATTCAAGAAACGGATCCCTTTTCGAAAACCACCCCCAAATTGGATCCCGTGAAGTCACGCTACAATTCAGGTGGTGTAGTTCTCGCACGTGAAATATTGAAAGGTCTTGGTCATTCGTCAAATAGAAATTTCAATTCCAGTGAGAAATGGTGATCGAATATTTGTAATGGTTTATACGATAGATAGAGCACACTTGTGATAATAATTTATTAAGCCAAGACTAAATAAAGAAATAAACCGAAATAGAAATAAGTAGAAAGAAACGGACGAAAATTCACAGATTGAGATCTAACAAGAAAGGGAAGAAAATCGATCCGCCGTCTAGAACTACCCCTTTATGGTTTGATCATCGAAATATTAAAAAATGATTTAACGTCAAGCCAAACGACACAGATTTTATAAAACTAAATAGAAATGAATAGAAATAAGCAGAAATAAACGGACGAAAATTCACAGATTGAGATCTAACAAGAAAGGGAAGAAAATCGATCCGCCGTCTAGAACTACCCCTTTATGGTTTGATCATCGAAATATTAAAAAATGATTTAACGTCAAGCCAAACGACACAGATTTTATAAAACTAAATAGAAATGAATAGAAATAAGCAGAAATAAACGGACGAAAATTCGCAGATTGAGATTTAACAAGAAAGGGAAGAAAATCGATCCGCTGTCTAAAACTACCCCTTTATAATTTGATTAGCTCAAACCGCAGCAGAATCACGTTCTTCCCTACATTGATACCAGAGGGTATAAATCCCTCACGCCCAAAGAGGACCGATTTGGCATTCTAGTTTCAGCGAGGCACTCCGGATAAAGACGAGCGAAAGGGACAGAGGCAATCCCCGGACCGACAGAGGGAATCCGGGAAAGGCTCGAAGAGGATTTTTCCGCGTTTCCCGAAAAAGCCGGCGAGCCGCATTCCGCGTTTCCAGGACTGGGAAGCAATTTTCCAGTCTCTGCCGATCGGCCGATTGCCGCGAAGAGCGCAATTCGGATTCAATCGCGAGACCATTGCAGTGCGGCGGCGATGCCGGCGCGTTTCGGCCGCACAAAGGGCACGCACTCGCCGCACCGCCACCTTTTCGGGGGTGCGTAACCGCGTAGGGGTGCGAGCGAAAATTCTAACGAGCTGTAAGTCTATGGCCTCGATATTTAGCGATATAAAACGAGGAAGGTTAGGGATACACTGCCTATCAGACCAGATCTGATTGAAGCAAAGATATTAAAGAAGTTCATATAGAAGTGGCTACAATTACGGCAAAGTGCAGCTATATCTATAAGAAGTAGTACGTTTGTCTCTAAACTGTAAAATAAATAATTTTGACTTAATAAATAAATAAAGTATATTACAAAAAAAAACCTGGCTCCTTCGAGGGTAACTAGTCCTAAAATAAATACATCTAAAATCTATGATAGAGGAGATTAAATCCTAAGATGAATAAATCTAAAGTCTAGAGCTGAGGAAAATAAATTCTAAGATAAATGAATCTAAAGCTCAGAGTCGAGGAGGATAAATTCTTAAATGAATAAACATAAAGTCTAAAATACAGGAGAGGAAATTCTTAAACCGGCTGGAAATTAAATTCCACGAGTGGGTTTTGGATTTTTCATTTTAAACGTTTCACCGAAATACTTTTGACAATTTCTAGAGCAGGAAATGTTCTCTTGGTCGCGCGTAAACGCCCGTGCGAAATATCTAACTAGTAACAAGCCCGGTCCGAGGGGTCGGCCGATATTTCGGCACCGTCAAAAAGAGGGAACTCGTCGATGAGGGCCTTCGGGGGCGAAGTGGAGATTCGGGGGGAAGTGTTCACGACAATGGATCGCTTAGCGACAGAGACGTGTCAGCTGTCGGGATGCCGAAGGGCGCAACTACGTATGATTGACACTTTTACAGGGGGTGAGCGCTTGCGCCACTTCGGATTTACGAGCACTCGTCCAAGTGCCCGGTTTTTTTTCAGACCCGCTTTCGGGATCGCCGTTCGTTTGAGTAAACGACGATTCGAAGTTATCAGCGAGTACCGGTGTTACGGATCAATTTGAAAATCCTACTATCAGGGAATGGGAAATTATTCTTAAAAAGAAAAAAGACGAATTAAGAAGGAGATATTCCATAAAGCTCTGTCGTGAACGAGGCTATCCGGGGAGAAATCATGGATTTTAACCCTTTAATTACGAATCGCCACTATAGTGCCCCCCCTTCATTCCTATGTATTTAAAGCGACAGATGAATATCGTATTCATATAAAATAATTAACATTCCGCAGCTGAGTTATCCGTACAAGTGGTACATCTCCCACTCCGCCGTAGAATAAAGGGTTAATACTTGAGATCTCGTGGAAATCGCTGGTAATCGTTCGAAATTACCGAAACATTGTTCGAATTTTAAAGCCAAACGTCACTTGTTATCTAATCACCCTACTGTTTATCGTATGAAATCAAAAGCAATCGGTTCTCAGAGAAGGAAATCGTCTTCACTGATTTTTGAGGGAACTGCTCCTCGATCAGGAATCGTTCGCGTTGTAAATAATTATTTTTAATGCCCATTATAGCGGTATAAAGTGCAAAATGAACCTGATTATATTCATTTCTACGGTATTGTGTTGGCTAATGAGACGAAGTAAAATATGAAAATCGATTCTCTGCAGCAGGGTATATTTTATAACAATTCAATTGCGACGAATGCAATTCTTAAAGGTGTTTCCTTCCTATCATGGTTTTGTTGTTAATATTTCATTTCTTAAATGCTCACCTCGCAGTTGGAGTGGCTGATGTTGCTGAGATTTAGCCTGAACACCTTGTCCCTGAGAACAAAATAAAAGCATTGTTATACATAGATCACAACGTTATATACAGAAAGATCGTGATAGAGCTATGTGACAAAAATGACGCCTAATAGGTAATTGTGTCGTCTATGAATCGAAATGTTTAAGTAAAATTTGGTATTACCGTTCAAGTATATTATCAACGAAATTATATACATAAATTCTGTCTTAAATACCTAAATTTATCGGTGGAATTAAAAATCCGAAAGAAATTGCACCGTTTGCAAGAGTTGTGGAGTTTTGAGAAGGGTGGAGCGTTTTCGGGAACCTGTAAAACCGCCATAGGATGATTCCACGAAACGACTTAACAGCTGGTTAGGCTGCCCCGTAAATAACGCAGGTGCCTTCGGTACACCTTTGCGGCTGCTTAGATTACGGCTAATTATTAGCCCCGATTTACCGACAGTTTCTTCGGCGAGAGGTAATTGGTCGCGCTCCGACGATCTCTCCTCGGTCCAAGTCGGACCAATAATCAAGCTTGCCTTGAAATCACAGGTGTTTCGAAACCGTAAGCCAACAACCACGGCGAAATGTTAAAAAAACTGTATTATATAAAACAAAGGCGATCAAATTGATTTTTATAATGAAGTAAATTTTATAATTGAAGTAAATATCATTTTATAATGAAGTAACCCGCAAGAATTAACATCCCAATTTAAATCCCGAGATATCAAACGAGGATATTCAATTGCAACAATTTTAAAGAGATAAATTAAAAATGATACTCTCATAAATGTAGTCAAGCTTCACAGATCAGCCGAAGATCCTGTCTCAGAATTTTATCAACTTCCGGAATAAAATCACCAATTGTTAGGAACACAATCTACAAGAATTAACATCTCATAAACCTCGAGATATTGAAGGCGGGTTCTTAATTGAAATAATTTAAGAGTTGCTTTGAAAATTTATTCATGTTTCGATCGAAGGGTTGTGAATGACAGATTGGCATGTTAATCATTCTGCACGTTGGTAATAGTCACGTTAGACAGCCTTGTTAAGTCTCCACCCGGGGAAAATATAGACGTTAAAATCAGATCAATTCGGCTGCCTCCGATAAGAGGCATTATCGTAATAGATCTACGGTCTGTCAGAAAGCCTGATGCCGTTTGAGCTGCAACGGCATGATCATGACAGATATGCCTCGTGACCACGTCTGTCATACATTTGGGTACACCGTGAAGGGTCAGTCATTGTAGTCAACCAGATATCACCTCCGTATCTAGACGGTATGACTGTCACGTCTATACCATCTACATAGGTTATGCGTATCACTCGAGCATGCTCGACACTCCCGTGATAGTCTTCCGAGTAAAGTCAACCGATATGTTGTCTTGGCAAGATTAGATCGATAGCCTAATTCTTGGTAACCACTGGAATATCTGTACTTCGTTACGTACAGTGAATTTGCCCATGACAATTTTCTATACATGATAATGTCACAATATGATATAAATTTAATTAGACGTTTATAATAAATGCGTACTGGTCTACCTGTAATACATCAGCTTTACAATTGTATTACAATTAGATATATTAAAAGTGTAAAATATCCCACCGTAATTTAACATATCGAATAAAATACTCCTCCATAATTCCACATACATGTTGGAATTAAATGCGTTAGTTTTCAAGAAATTCCCAGAATATTATAATTACCTTAAATGGAGGACAGATATTTCACTGGAGTAATTTTTTTCTCCAGGAAAAGCGTTACTGAATCCAAATGAGCATAATTCAAAGGAATTTTCATCTCAGTGTGCGGAGTTCAGTTGAAAAGGTCTCCGCGTTTTTGAGAATCCTCCCAGGTGGCTCGAGGCACCGTAAATCGAATTCACCCAGTCCCAGGTTTCGCAACATTAGGCGGGGGAGGCGCGTCCGCATAACTTTATTCCGTCGGCCATTGATCAGGGGGTTTCAATAGGCGTGCAGTCGGACGGAATGCGCACGAGGAAGCGAAGGCAAAGAAGAGAAGGGAGAAGACGGAGGAGCGTCGAATGGCGGCCGGCGGGGGGCGCCATTCAGACCGCGCACGACGCCGTGAAAAAGTAAATACCGCGCGGAAAAACAAATCCGCCTGGAAACTCGGGCCGAACTTTCGCAGCCGCGGGGGCGGCGCGCCTTAGGAAAACATGAAACCAATTTGACGGAAGGGAAAAAGGAGATGGGAAGTTACCCGGAAGCAGCCGGCATCCCTGGCGTCGGAACGACTCTCGATTGGAAACGGCCAGCCGCCACTGCCGCCGTGCGGATGCGCCGTGGCGCTGCGCAGGGATCGGGAACGGCGACGAGCTTCGCCGAGATCCCGCGAGATGGCGCGCGCAACGCCGCGGGAACGCTGGGTAGAATTTTTCCGTTGGTTTGAAAAACTAACGGCGTAAATGGCACGGTTATCGAGAGTGCAAAGCTATCGTAGGTTGCAATGAATCTTATTTTGTACTGTTTAGGAAATGTATCTAAAGTAAAATAACGCGTCTAAAGGGTGGATCCTCTACGTTTAGGTGAAGCGAGTCATTAGATGGAAACGTGAACGCTACGATGTAGGAGGTTATGTCGGATTCGAGGATCCCTTGGTGTAAGAGAAGGAGTTGGCAAAGGAGTTTTTGGGAGAAAAGATGGAACGGTCGACAAGTTTTAAACAATATATATTATAATTATATCGAAGGATTTGCAGGTGAATTTCTTAACGTGTGAATTTATGAATACCTTGGATTCTTTCCCTTACTATTATGCATTAGTGCTGGGGATTATTCCAGGTATCTGGGGGAATATTCTTAAGTATCATAAACATGGAATAATTTAGTGGAAATAAGAAATTGTAAAAATGCGAATCGGTACTGTAAGGTGTACCGTGCTGTCGGCATTATATTCAATTAGAATTGGTTATATCGAATTAGAAATAAGAACGTAAGGGAATATTTCGAATTTAAATTTTTCTCTTGTTCTTGTTCCTCCGGATGAAACAGTTAAGGATCGTAATTGAAAGCACAGCTTTGCAAGAACCTCTCCGTCAATTTGAGCTTCGTTTACCGGGCAATTAGTGTAATCGATTGACTCTCAAGGAGACCCTTTGATCATTAATCGACGTTTCTGCGTCCATCTGCAGAACAGAGAGAGAGAGAGAAAGGGCAATGATAAGGAAAAAAACTAAAGGAGAGAAGAAGAGAGAAGCTCACGTCCCCGTACTCGCCGTGCATAATTGGGCCGAGTTCAATTAGCGTAACTTGATTGCAAGTGAACCGTGGCCGGCCGCGAATCTCAAAGTACAATTAACGGGTATCGCGCGTTTCTAATTAACAGCCTGGCGACTCGTCCAAAAGCGATGATTCAGAGAAAATGGGATCGCGGAGGAAAGGGGGGAAAAATAATAAAAGAAGACCCGAATGGGCCAATCAACGCTCGCACGGCCATCGGGAGGAATAAAGGCTCCTTTCTATTCCCGAGCGATATATATCTCCAATAAATACCGCATCAACGCCAAATGCTTCATACGAGGTTAATAGAATCTTAAATTGATAACGCTTATTCGGAAATATGACATTACACCGACGCGTAAGCTTCTTCATATACACGGAATATCCCAACGAGGGGTGAATCTATGCAATTATTCGGTATTAAAAAATCCTAAATGGAGATTCTTTTACCCTTAGGTTAAGAAGAGCTTATTTGAAATTTCAGGTATTAATGGGATAAATGCGAAAAGTCTATGGAAATAATTAACACGGGCAATTCGAAGCGGGGTCCTAATCAGTGGAGTTAATTGCAGACCAATCACGGATACCGCAGGACGTCAAAGGACAATCAATGGGTATCGCGCGTCTCTGATTAACGACCCGACTTGGGCAATTCGAGGGCGAAATGGAAACGAGGGAGAAAGATAACAATTCGAGAAGAGGAGGACCAATGGAAGGAGGCGGAACGAGACAATTGTGGGTGGAAAAGGAACAAACCGACGAGGCCGACGTGCATCGCGATGGTTACCTTTCTGCGGACGGACAACATATCCAATATCGGCCGACTCTCGTTTCCCTCCGCGTCTCGTTTCATTACATTTTTCCCTCTTTGATCCTTCGCGTGTCCGCTCGTCCCGTCCGCTCGTAAACGCCTCCGCAATCCGGTCGTTCTGTCGATATCGAATCCAGGCCAACAGGCTCAAAATCCGTGACATTTCGCGAATTGCGAGGGGACATTTCAAGGGAGATCTGCGAAGTCTCGCGCCGACCCGTTTTGTTCTTGCTGGGGTCTTGACCGAAGAAGAGAAAAATTAAATATTGGTGCGAAACGCGGTCCAATATTTGGGGGAACACTCCACGGGACGAGTGGAGGATGGTTAAATGGGAATAAGTCGGATAGTCTACGGGCGAGGAGCCAAAGTTTGGGATTTACAGCAAGAGTATAAAAGATTTTATAGATACTAGAGGACCCTGCGGGGTGTCGTTCGAATCTGTGGCCAAGAAGTCCCGTCATAGTTCTGGTACTTGTTCGGGAAGAACATGTGGTCCATTCCCGTTTTCCTGCCATTCGCGGGAATCGTCCTTGTAGGAATTGTTTTCTCCTCCTCACTTGGGAACACTGCTACCGAGGAAGAGCACTTCGCGGCGAAACGTATGGCAGAGGAGAACGTCTACTCTTTTTAGTCTCGAGTGTCTGTACAAGTCAAAAGTCCCCCGGACTGCAAATAATCTCGGGCCATTCGGGTAATTTGGTCCAGATCCTCGTCAAACACTGGAAGATGTTTAATTTACCTCCAAGTTTGTCCGTAACTGATTTCCCCCCATCGGTCGCTAGTTTGAGTGCAGTTCAGAGTTACCTATAACTTGGACTGATGAGACGCGCGATGCCTTTCATGAACTTGTCATCAAAGTGGCACAAATTTCAATCGTGTCAATCGCAAAAAATATTATGTGTGTATTTTCGACGTAACGCGTACAGGATAATTAGTCTCTTCCTTACTAAGCTTCACCCTGTTGAGCAGGCTTAAGTAAAATATTCAACTATAAACCCTGAACATGTATTATGACATTTCCGAATGTTGTTCAGATTTTCCCGGCCTATTTTGCGCCCTCTTTGAAGCTTATTCTGGAAAGTAAGTAAGAACAAAGAGTGCCGCCAGGGCGGTCGAGCTTTTGGTTAGCTCTGGAGGGAAACTTTTTACCCAGCTGACTAAATGAACACGCGGAAGCTCTCTTCGACTTTCGAGAGAGCTTCAACTTCCGACGTCGGGTTTCCTCCGTTGTCTTGTACCGAGGATACGTCAGGATGCACTCTTGTATACCGACAAAAACCTCCTGTCGCGTCCTCCCCCGTGAATTAACAGCCGCGAAAAGTTCGACGATAAATCGCAAACCCTTCGCGACTTTCGTTTCCGGGTCAAACGCGCTACGAGAACGAGAACTCGACAACTTCCTTCGTTCTCCCGAGTATTGCCGTTCCCCTTTTTCTCCCAACAAGTTCTGTCTCACCGAGTCCTCTCTATCTACACCGGGTTTTCTTGTACCATAATGCACAATTTTGTGCGCAGCTCCGACAACGTAAATGTCGAGCCACGCAAAATGGGCACTAACTTTTCAAACAAATCCCATCTCAAATAACAAACAGCCCCACTAATATAAAACAATAAAAATGACATAGTACTTTGAGGCTTTCTATGGAACAATAGAACATCGACCGCAATCGAAGGAGGCTTTCTATGGAACAATAGAACATCGACCGCAATCGAAGGAACACAATTTTCCTCGCGAGATAAATTTTTTAAGTGCATTTAACCGCAACACAATTTAACAATGAATTTCCAAGTGGAACTTCTTACAGCACGCATGTTAACGAAAGGAATCCAATTTTGAATATGAAACACCTTTTTCCCGCAGATAATTGCAATTTACATTGAACCACGTGTGTTGGTATTTACACAATCTGCGTAAATTTTATTTCTGCAATCAATGACGATTTATGTTCATCCTCGTGTGTCGGTATTCAAACAATTCGCGTTGCCATTCTCGTAAGCGTTAACCCTGTTATTCTCATTATTTCTTACAGATTTGCGTGTTTCCTTCGGCACTGTAGTCCTAAAATACTGCAATAGTATATATAATTAGGAGGGATTAACGCGCCCAGGAGGCCGAAACTCGAGTCCTGGGGAAATCTCACGCGGGTGCTCGAGGTCGAGGCGCATCATTACCGCAGGAGTATTATTCCTCGATGTTCGGGCGAACCGGGCTCATTGTAACGGGGGGTTGCTTTGTCAAGGCACCCTCCTTAATTTGGTAAATGCCAACAAAATGCTACAGGAGCTCCTGGGGTAGCCATGAATGGCCGCGACGCCGTCGACGTCGGGGCGGGGAATCGCCGGGGTCGGTGGAAGCCCTCGGGAAAAAAAAGGGGGAAAAAGAAAAAAAAACGAGTCGCGAGGATCAACGCTAGATTACGTTTTCTCGTCAAAGGACCAACCCCAGGAGTACCGACACTGCGAGACAAAAATTCGCGGCCGATTCGTATTACCGCAAAAAAGGCGCGGCGGAGGCTCGTTTTTTCACGAGTCGCTCGCTCGGTAAAGGGAGGTCGGGATAATCACGGGTTTTCTCATTTTCCTTATCCGCAACCCCCGAAGGAGCACCCCTCCCCCCGAGGGGGGATACGCTCGGAATATCGATTATTGCCAATCGATTCGAAACGTGCCCAGTCGGGCCAATTGATGGCTGGTTGAAGTCTTATCTGCCAGCTCGGGCTAACTTCTCTACATTTTTCCTTTACGATATTGCCATCAATTCGTGGGGAACAGCTGACTTAATTCGATCTCGATGATATGAGATATTCCGTAGAATTTTGTAAAATATGATGGAACATATTTGCTAATGTTAAGGTGATATGGAAGTGATGTGAATTAAGGGTCTCGTTTATGACTTTTCTTCAAACCTAGTATACAGAATCGTTTCACATTTTACCACGTGGATGTGACGGCTCTAAAAAAGGTTCCGACGCCTGTGGAGTTTAATTTTTAAACATTTGTTTATATTTTCTTTTCAATTTTTTTTTTTGTTTTAAGCAAAAACAAGATTCTTGGATATAAGGATCTTCCTCTGGAACTTTATATTTTTGTGCTAAGATTTGAAAGTATTAGATGTATCCAATTCGGAGGAGTTTCATAAACGAGACCCTGCAAAGGCCATTTTTATGTCACCTTAATGGTTCATTTAAATTGTGACATTCTATAATGACGATCAGCATGGTAAGATGGAGGTGTGTGATTTTTATGGTCGATAATTATTTTAATTAACTTACATGGCTCCCACGTATAGTGCATCCCTCTTGCTGTCCAGGTAGAGTGTCCTGTAGTACAGCATCCCGCAGTTGAACTCCCGAACATGTTCTGAAAACGAATGGAAAGAAAATGACATTAAAGCGCAGTCGAATTTTCGCTCGCGTTAGGTAGAAAAAGGATCGCTAATCATTTATTCCGAGTAGGACGTTGTCAAGGGATCCTCTCGTGGCTTTCGCCGGATATAATTTGCCACCCAGCTCGCGGTTGTAATTTAAAAACGCGCCGTATCAAGTTTTCAAGCTGTCAAAGACACCGGGACCAGAGAGTCGTAACCAAAAACGACCCCGAGGAGCATTCTTTTAATGAGTGTTACGGCTATTTTCTTTTTTTATGTTAATATCCCGTAGTGCACTTCCGGATAACGCGGTAAAAAGTCGCGCACGTAAAGTATATCACCGGGAAGGCGCAAAATGGAATTCCGCAGTCGGCCAGCTTTTTGCTGAGGAATTACTCGAATCCACCGAGTAACCCAGTTCTCGCAGAATTAAAAGTGAGAGACTCTTCACCTTAACAGCACCCCGTAAAATAATCCCCTCCACGGGGATTATTTCCTTTTGACCCCCCGACATCAAATTCCTTCACCTATGTTAACAATAAAAAAATCATACATACATATTCTCAACGAAACACGTCATAAAATATTACCCCAACAGTCTTATCAGAGAAATCGAGAAGCAACCTACCCCTACATTAAACCGTGGAAAGAAAAAAAAATACAAAACTCTAAAATTCGTCGGAACATAAGGCAAGAAAGAGAGGGTCATGCATATTTACCTCAGGTGTAATTTATTTATGAGTTATGCCCCCGGTCCGAATTTCCTCTCTCCCCGAGTCCCGGAAAAAAAGTCGCCCCCGACTCAGCCGAGCATACGTTTCCGAAAGAATTATTTGCGTTATTCCGGCAGACAGGTGTACACATGTACAATGTGCCATGGGAGTTCACATAATCACGGCGGCACTTGTAAATTCAACTCGTGTTCCCTTCTTTGCGCAAGTATCCGCGATAGGAGGGATAAAGCTCTCAAGCTGGGAGTCGCATTGCCGCAGTGGCGTGCATTTTCCGGAACGCCGAGTTTTCCGCAGTTTCTTTATAATTTTTCTTCCGTCCCCCTCCTCTTGCCTTCTCTTCCTTTTTCCATGCAGGATGTTAAATCTACCCGCAACCATTTAGAGGAGGGCGTCGAGACGCTAGAGGGGTGGCGGAGTCGGCGTCCCGAGGGTGGACGTCGTTTCGTAGCACCTACACCCCTGCGGAATCAACCCCCTACCGTCGACACTGATCTGCTTAACATATGAAAGAAGACCACCCCTTCTAAATGCACTCGTTCCACTCTGGACTAACAGAGCGCGAACAATGCTATATTTTATACGGTATCAGGAGGGGCTGACGCGGAGTGAAAGAGGTTTCTGCCCTGAAATTCCCTCTCTCTCAGTCTCTATGACTGCTCCACCCTTTCTCTCTCTCGCTCTCACCCCGTTCTACTGTCTCATTCGGTTAAGGGATGATGCTACGGGGTGACTTTAATGCCCGACTTTATTCAGCGCGATACCTCCAAGGATTATCGCGCTGCACCTTGCGGCAACCAGAGTCTGCAAAAGTACACGTCTGATAAATGTTTCTCCCATTTTTACATAGGTCACATTAGGAAAACAGTGGTTGAGAAACGCGATATCGTTAAAGAAACACAGAATGGATTGATAACAATTTTTTCCAAGTTTTCTTTGGATCTGACATATCGACTTTATAACACATTTTCAAGTGCAATTCCGACATCCATTGCAAATTTAGTATCATGATTGGAGATGTCCGAAAATGTCCGATTGGATTTCTCCGCTTCTTCCGAGATTCTTAGGGAGCTTTTACAGAATGTAAATCCGATGGTATATCGGTTTCTATAAGGAAACACGTGGTAGGGGGCTTTTATTTGCGATCTACGATCCTTTGATCCAGGGTTCATTTATCCCGCGTCGAAATCACTCCACCTCGAGCTTCATCCCTTTTTGCCAGCGTCGGAGGGTAAGTTTCCCTCTGGGCAGAAAATTCTGCTTTATTTCCCACGTCCACCCCCGGTCGCGGGGACATTCCGGACCGGAGATACGCAAAGTTGATAGGTGCAGACCCATATATATACGGCACCCCAATGCTTCCGCGGATCTAGCGATCTTTATAGAACGGGGGGGTTGGGAGCTCAGGAATTTTTGAAAAACCGCCCGGCTGATAAGCGGCCCGATAAGCCCAACATGCGATCCGGAAGCCATTCGTTCGAATTTCAACCCTGCCGGTCGGGGGTCGAAGCAACTCGGTTATCCCTTATTTCCTCCGCCTTTTTTTGTGATAGGCCGCCCCAATAATGGCATGCAGATAACAGACAGTCCCGTGGCATGCTAAAATTGAAAGCACCCCCTTCCAGGCTTCACCATACGGAAATAAATATTCCTTTCCCAGGATGTTGAGTCACATCAAATGTGATCGCTGATAAGCGCACCCGACTGCACCGTTATGCATTTCAATGCTAATCATATGATTTAATAATAAAATACATGTAAGCGAAATTCCAACGCAAGTCATAAGCCTGTTAAGTCAAAGAAATGTACTAAATGACCACTGTGAGCGAAGTCTTATGACAAGAGAATTTTAACAATCCAAGCACGTGGTATCGATTACGCACATCAATTAGGCCAGGTCATGCGATTTTGAAACATGAACATTTCTGCAGCAAAAGAGATACATTAAACGAGCATTACCAGCGAAATCGACAATTTTGCCACTCCGAGCACGTGGTGCTCCGATATCTCTTCCTATGGGGGGTGCTTCCGGATCCGCGACGCCTCTTATCAACAATATCGAGTAATTGTATCGCAAGCGAGGTTGCATTAGGTCTGCTCGGGTTAGTCGAGGAATAGTTATGCGCAGTATATGCGTAGACGCGTGTGCAGCCGCGTTTAGCGGTTAGAACGCGTGTACCAGCGGTTAGGGGGTGTACGGGGTGCACTCGTGTGTACCGGTGATTATTTCCTATCGCCGAGAGTCCCGAGTACCTACGTGCTCCAATTACTCTTCATTTTAATTACCCTCGCTCCCCGCGTCGTCGGATTCTACCCGCGGACGCGAGTAGAAGCTCTGGTACGCCCGCCGAATAAATTCAACTTCGCCTCCGAGTGTCACCGACAGAGACGCGCCCATTGTCTGCGGAACGGGGAAGAAAGAGAGGGAGCGACAGTGTCACCCGCCGAGGGGAAAGGACTGCACTTTATTACTACCGGTATTTTGTTATGCGTAGGATTTAATGCGCGTAATCTCAATAAAATGGAGGGACTCTCGTTTCAACCCTTCAACCATGCCGTTAAAAACATTGATCAAATTTCCTACACTTTTTTTTACATAAGTCTCACTCTAATTAGAAATCCGACGACTCGACATTCTGCATGTAGATCAATACACTTGTGCACTGAATTTATAATATACGCTGTACATTCACGAGGTGTGCTTACAACACGTATAAACAAAGTGTTACGAAATTAGGATACCGTGCCTGATGGAAAACAATCAACGAACCGTCGTATTTTTTTTTTTGCACCACGTATCTACGTGCACGATACTAACGTACCATTATCAGGAGTTAAACCGAGGCGAACAATAATTATTTTATTAATCCACTACTTCGTAACTTTAATTTATTATTTCAATCATGTTCAGGTTACTTTCCAGAGGTCTAAACTTAAAAAAAAAAATTACCACGAAACGAAATCGGCTCAGCCCCGCAAAGTAAAAAGAGCTCTATCCCGTTTTTTCGATTTTCCTGAATCTCGTCAGAATCCGACATATGTTAATAAAAGCGCATTTAACCCATTGAAATTTGGCCGGTGAAATTCCGAGCGTAGTAAATCAACAAGTAACGCGGCTCTTCTGGAATTTGCAAAATTCGCGGCGTTGCGCGACAAAGGGCAAAGCCCGGAGGGGGGAAGAGGGGAGGAAGGGGGCCCGTAAAAAAGGCGAAGGAAACAATTGAAAATTGACTGTAAATCACCGATGGAACAATGCCCGAAGATTATGACCGGGGCACAATGGGGGCGTTAAATCGGATTCGGCGCAGTCGGTGCTCTTCGGGGTCTTTTATGCCCCCGTCGAGGGGGTGCCGGGGAGGGTTAGGGGCTCAAAAGGACACTTCGTGTTTCTTCCTTCGTTCCCGAGTCTCCCGTAGGATCCGGCGGGAACCCTTCCGGCCTCTCCCAAGTTTCAAATTGGCCGACTCGGATCTCCTCCCGTCCTTATGATCGAAATAAAGTGAATTCGCGCCCTCTCGCTCGGCTCTTCGGGGTTGGTCCTTGCCCTCTCTTTCTCACCCCCTTCCTGCGAATAGGGGCCCTCTCTAACCCTCCCTCCCCCCCCGAACTTGCATGTGCAGGGTAAAATCTTGACGACGGGGGGCGAAAGTTTGTAATCGAGCGTTTTGGCGAGCACTTGCCGGCAAGTTTCTTCTCCCGGGTCGTAAAGTCGCTCAGACGTTTCAATAAAGATGCTGTATATATGTATGTATGCCTATATATATACGTGTATATGTTTGTATATACGTATATGTATAGGAACCCCTTCAGCGAGACGCGAACGACACTTCGGAGGACTCGAGATGGCTCCTCCTGGAAATGCTTCACTTTTCCGGGATATTATCCCCGCGCCCTGATCGCCAACCCTCCACCCACGATTTTAACGACAGTAAATGCTCGCGACAACCGAAACTATTCATGATCGCCGCTCTTTCTGCCTCGAATTTGCCCCCGAAAATCGTAAACCCCGAGGTACTTCCTCCGGGCGTTTCGGCTTTTATTCCCGCAGCATTCCGAGGAGAAACGTCAAAAGATGAACCCTCGTTTCCGACTTATCTACGAAATTTTCTCCTTTGGTTGCCCATTGAGTTTAACGCAGAGCGAAAGCCATTTTCATTCACGTAATTCGCTCACAAGGTGCAGCATCCTTGGAACAAAAAGAAAAAAGAGTGAACAAAATATTTTACTTTAATTTCCAACGGTAATTGTGAATGTCCCTCATT